AGTGTAATGTGAATGTTATAGCAGTTGTAGTTGTAGTGCTAGTTATAGCAGTTGTAATGTATTAGTTATAGCAAGTGTAATATGTGTATTATAGCAACTGTAATGGTAGTTTTTTTAACTCAGTTATAATATGTTAATTATAGCAAGTGTAGTATGCGTATTACTAACTGTATTAGTTATAGCAAGTGTAATATGCGTGTTATAGCAGTTGTAATTTATTATAGCAAGTGTAATACAATCGTTGTAAAAAGTAAGTAAAGTAAAGGACCCTTTTCCACGCCTTTAGGCGAATAGGGCATATAGGGCTAGACCTATATTTTTATAGACCAATCGGCACAAGATGGGGGATGTGGTCAGCATCACGCCGGCCGCCTTTACTTTCCCGGGACTGCACCCGGTACCCACTCAAGGCTGGGTCGACCTGGGAGCCAAGGTCATTTTTGAAAAAAGTCCGGCTCCGCTAGGGAGCGAACCCACGACCTTCTGATCCGCGACGAGCGTCTAGCCGCTCGGCCACGGTGACTCCCACACAATCGTTATAGCACATGTAATAGTAGTTAGTTATAATGGTTGTAGTGTATTATAGCAAGTGTAATATTTGTGTTATAGCAATTGTAATTGTTGTTATAGCCGTTGTAATGTATTAGTTATAGCAAGTGTAATATGAACGTTTAGCTATAACAGTTGTAAAGGTTGGTAGTGTTTTAGTTATAGCAATTGTAATGTAACTGTTAGTTGTAGCAATAGTAATTTTAGTTTTAATTACAGTAGTTGTAATGTGAGTGTTAGTTATTGTAGTTCTAATATTAGTATTAGTTATAATAGTTGTAATGAAGAAGTATTAGTTATTGTAGTGGTGTAACTTTTTGTTAGCAGTGATGAAATAATTGTAATGTCATAGTAATAACACTAACAGTGTAGTAGTTGTAATAAACATAATGATAATAGTTTATCATCATCGTCATAATCTCTTGTGGAGATTGTGGTTGTGCTGATGTTGACAGTAGTAATAGTAGCAGTAGTGGTAGTAGTAGTTGAAGTAGTAATAATTTTAATCAGCAGATGCAAATGTGAATAAAGTTGTGCAATGTATTTCGTCACATCTACAGACGAGTCCAAGGTTAGATGATTTGTTCCTAATGTGTTTTCCTGCCATAAGTTCTCTCTTATGATCTTTTTAATGGGGCTTTTGTTTTAATTTTTTAGCTGATCTGCTTCCACACTCCTACAGTTGTTTACCTATTTTTTGTTTACAGATACAAACTTGGCTCTAAGATTTGATCTCCCACAATGGTGCCTATTGTAGGCCTGGTGTCTTTGGTCTGGGTACTCTCCTGTCTGATGCTCAGCCATGGAGCTGTGTTTGGTCCTACTCAGTGTTGCACATGTGACTCCATGATGCCCAAAAACATTCCTCCTGGTAGACTACCTCAGGTGGTGCCCTCACCTTTCAGGATTGAAGTCAAGGAGCATGAGTACAAGGTCGGCACTGAGATTCATGGTGAGATTACTGTCTTCTTTATGTTTATGACATTTCCAGGGTCAGAGTCTGTGACTGTGTTGGAAGGAAAGAGAGAGAGATGTGATTGGGGTAGTATGTTTGGGAGGGGGGGGGGGGGGTATGAACACAGTGTCATAATTGCAGCATATCACATTTGATACAGAAGCAGGTGACTTGGCAGTAGGTGGCTTCACAATTCCAGCAATGGTATGTATGTCAAATAGTGAGAAAGCAATGGCAAACGATTGAACCTAAAATTATCTAGTAAAACCACAAACAGCCATAAAATGCTGCAGGCTGTTTTGTGACATCCTGTAAAGGATATGAAATTTAAAATTCATTTTACATGTTCTTCTTTATTGGATAGTTTACCGCTGAGCATATACAGAGAAATATACCAGGCAATACTTTATGCAATCCATTTTTTTTTTTCTTTTTTTTTTTTTTTTTTTTATTACTATTATTTAAGTTTACAAAAGTTATCATTGCATTTTTTTTAAGTGAAAATATTTAATTTTTTTGTATTGTTGACTTAAAGAACTATTCCATAGAAGAAGATGTGTAGTTTTCTTCTCTTTGACTTCCATGATGATGAGACTGGAGATTATCCAGAAAATGGCAACAGGTAGTATAGGCTCTGAGTGCATAGAAAGCGTTTGGAGATCACACTTAAACTCTCTCACATGGGACTACACACCAGGATAAAAGGTAATGAATGAGCTGACCAACTGACAAGCAGTGCACTACCATATGTGGGTAGAAGAATGGACAGAACTGATATCATAAACGCTGTATGGACGAGGATGGTGGATAATGAATCTCTAACACTAACCGGATCGTATGCCCTGAGAGTAAATCATGTTGCTTTAAAGCTGCAGTGATTGACTTTGCTCTGTGGAAGATACGAGGCATCTCAGGTAACTTGGTAGTAATGTCAGCTCCAGCACTTACAACAACCATCCACATCTATGCTGTCTTTGAGGCTGAGACAGGAGACATAACCAACTCCTTATGTTGACAATCACTAGAGGTACCTTGGAGTGGCTGCTGCCTCGAAGGACTTAGCACGCATGGGAATTGCTTATTGTGCAGAGGCATCAGTAGTGATAACATAATGATCATCCATTTACCTAACTTTTATCATCTTAACTGCTGTAATGATGGAGATGTATTCTCTCATGGTTTCCTAATTTCTCCTCCCTCAGTCAGTTTGGTTGGCCCTCCTGACCAGTTTTTTCGCTCATTTATGTTGGGTGCCTATGTGGAGCCTTACGCTAGAGGCCACATGCCAGTTGGGCAGATCAAAGCCTTACCTGGACAGAATTTTCAAGTCAGGGAAGACTGTATCCAGAAGGATGGTGCTCCAGACAGCACAGTTAACTCGGTAAGTTGACACTGAATGGGGCTTTTGAGTAATCTTTAAAAATAGATTGTCTTGAAAAACAAATTTATTTGGCCGCATCAAGCATCACAGTGATTTAGAGAAAAACATGAAGACTTGGTTCCTAAAATATGTCACAAGAGATACAAATATCTTGATATAGAAGTAAACAAGTCAAGAAAACTGAAGAAGGATCAAGTTTTTATTTTTAGCAAGCTGGTAAGAGCTTTGTTCTGCACGTACATGCTTTGTGATTGTGACTGACCATATTTCCCCAGGTATAAGACGCAAGTTGGTTTTGGGACTTGGAAATCTAGGGGGGAAAAGTAATATGATTACATAAAGTTATTGAACTCACAATGTATTCATCATAGAATCCAGAAAACTACTCATCACTGTCACCCACACCAGATTTTCTCCCCAAGACTCACTTCATCGCCTCTCTAGAGAGGGACAGTGCATTATATTCAGACTAAGGACTGGGCACAACAGATTTTGTCAACATATGTTCACAATTTTTGGTGTAGGAAATACGGAGACGTGTCCCTGCAGCGTGGCACCCGAAAATGCTAAACATGTGCTCCAACACTGTCAACTGTATGCTGACAACAGAGATGCAATCTGGCCTGTTCCAACCAAACTGAAGACAAAACTGTATGGTACACGAGAGGATATGGATTGCACGATAGCTTTCATAAAGGCTACCGGCCTCCTGATATAAGTTTTCTGACAGAAGGATCGAAGAAGAAGAAGAAGACTGTCAAAACTCTTATCCATGTGATGGTTGTTCAGCTTGTCCTTGTCTGTGTCTCATGACGAATCACTTTCTTCAAGTATAGCCTCATCCTCAGTTCTAAGTGCACTGGGAAACCAATTGGCAGACAGGTTGGCTGGTGCAGCAGAAGTGGGTTGGTGACTTAATGCAAAAAATGCTAGATATGGTTAAGACCTTTTTGGAGAGAGAGAATGGTGCAGTGGGATCTGATCGACATTCAGCACTTAGAGGAAGGGAAAGATGGATATACAGTCAGAATGCTACAGGTACCATACAAATTGGAACTCTGTGCTGGCTGCTAAGAGAGAGACGGAACCCTCATGAAAATGTTGTGAGTGCTGTTAATCTTCTCTGCTAGTCACTGGTTGTAAACTCCTTGTTTATCCACTTCTGGACTGTGACCCATTCCAGGACTTGAGTCTCCTCTGTGCACATCCATTTGACAGATCTGGCTTATATGTTCAGAACACTTCATTGTTATGTCTCAGATTGGAAATCAGTTTACGACTTTCCTCTATCTCGATGAGGTCTGCTTCGTTTGTTTCTCTATCCTTCCATGATATCCTTTACATTATTCTGAGAAACCACATCTCTGCATTGAGTAAATATTTTTTTGTCTTGTTATAGCTTGTTGAAGAATGGTTGAAGCCACTGTATATTGCCACTTTGGAAATAATGAATTCATGGTTTTCCTGGATAGTTACATCTTCCCTTAGCATCTGCTGTGAAACCTTTTCATACTAAAACCCTTTCTAGGCAATGCTTAGTTATGTGGCTGTAATCTTTTCATACTAAAACCCTTTCTAGGCAATGCTTAGTTATGTGGCTGTAATCTTTTCATACTAAAACCCTTTCTAGGCAATGCTTAGTTATGTGGCTGTAATCTTTTCATACTAAAACCCTTTCTAGGCAATGCTTAGTTATGTGGCTGTAATCTTTTCATACTAAAACCCTTTTCTAGGCAATGCTTAGTTATGTGGCTGTAATCTTTTCATACTAAAACCCTTTCTAGGCAATGCTTAGTTATGTGGCTGTAATCTTTTCATACTAAAACCCTTTCTAGGCAATGCTTAGTTATGTGGCTGTAATCTTTTCATACTAAAACCCTTTCTAGGCAATGCTTAGTTATGTGGCTGTAATCTTTTCATACTAAAACCCTTTCTAGGCAATGCTTAGTTATGTGGCTGTAATCTTTTCATACTAAAACCCTTTCTAGGCAATGCTTAGTTATGTGGCTGTAATCTTTTCCCAGTTTTTTTTTAACTGAATATTTAGTATCAGTGGTGTGATGATGTATCACTGTCTACTAATCCGTATCACAGTATTATCTTTATATCTGACAGTATGCTGTGATCAGTCAAGATGAAAATCCCAAGAGGAACCTACAATTTGTGTGGACAGCCAACCGGCACTACAGACATATTGAGTTCAGGTCAGTTTTAGAACTATCGTGTTCTCAAATTTTTGGGTAGGTGTTAAAACTGTCTTGTGAATCTTATTATAAGGTCAGTGTTAGAACTCTCACGTGTCTGTCATTATCAGGTCAGTGATAAAACCTTCATTGTCCTTCATTACTGATACATTGATTTGTGAAAAATGTTTAGCTCATTCAGCTTGTAAAATTCATGTCATTTAAGCACTGTTGTTGGCATTTGTGGCTTAGAGATGGTGAACACAGTTTTTAATTCTGAGATATCCAGTTTGATTCGACAGTGGTATTGAGAGCTGACCGTTAAGAGCGGTGGCAAACTACTCATAAAAATTGCCTAGAATAACCACAAATGGCCAACAAATGCTGAGCTTGGTTTGCAACATCCACTATAGGATATGCAACTTTTTTTAAAAGTTGCTGATATATATATATATACACACACACATAAATCATTACTGATACATTAATATTTGGACAGCATTGAAACCAAATAAGGGTGTATAATTCATGTTAGTTTTAGAACAGTCACATGTCTTTCTTCACCAAGACATTAATTCTTTGAAAATATTCAGTCTACAGGTTTTAGAATTCAGGTCAGTTTTGGAGCTGTCATTACTGATAAAATATATTTAGATAAGAATCACACTCAGTTATGATTTTTTTTTTTTAAAGCTCATAAGTCTTAACCAGATCAGCAGTATAACTAATAAAAACTATATAGTGTAAAAACAAATATCATCGCTGTAACTAATTAAATGTAGGCACTTAAACTAAGGATGCAATTTGATTTAATATTTGTTTTTACCTTTTGCATATAAGATAAATGTGAACCAATCTATGTTCAGGGTTCTCAGAACCTACAGTCCTAATTCTCAGTACTTTCCAGTTAATAAAACTGATACTTTCCCAGGTTTTTATAGAATCCACCACTTTTCAGCATCGCTGGAATCTTCACTCATTGAGAAATGACAAATACAGCATATATAAACCACAAAATATGTGTGAGATAAATTGACAGTCATATACAATAGATAAATATGCATGTATGTGTAATAGGCAGACAAGCTGAAAACTGTTTACACGCAGAGGAGATATAGTTTTGAGATGAATGCAGAATGCTAGAAAGCCAAATGAGGTGGTTCTTCTCAAGATAGATGAAAGTCATTAACTGATTAGAATAATAAGACCGAGAACTGGGTAATAGCTGGCAAGATTGGTGGAAAGACAGCTAGGGAAAGGAAGTTGGATCAATACCTGAATGGTGTGGCCATATGGATAGGGTGAGACAAGAACACGGACCTGATCTGTGATTCTGGCGTTTGTGTGAGATGGTGAAACCTGACGTCCTACGCCTTATCGGCACAGCACATGATGATGGTGATCAACTGCAGTCACCCCTATTCCCATGGCTTCATCTTTCATGCTTCTTTGCTGAACTTGTGGAATTACTTAAAATTTAAAAAAAAACACTATTGTAAAATATGTTGAAACAAAACAAATATATACAATTACGAGTACTTTTTATTTTAGAGGCCTATTTATACCACTCAGATAACTAATTTTCCTGTTTGTATCTTTTTTAGGGCAACTTTTATTGTAAACGATGATGTCTTCTGGGTGTCAGAAAAATCTAGATTACTGGGAGATCCCAAAGCTGGACCCCTTCCCTTGCCCAGGAACAGGGTATGTTCTCTTATATGTTCTGTTTAGAATTGTTTATGTTCTGAATGTCCGTGTCACTGTCACTTGTCATGTCTGTCCACAAATTGATGCCTAATCATCTTCTCCAACTAAAGACTCAAACTCAGCTGACTTGACCCCGTCACTATGAGAGGCCTCACGCCCGGGCACTTCCGGTTTGGTGCCATTTACATTGTCATCATCATCATCATCATCATCACCTTCAGCAATGTGGGGAGGAACAGTTTGCGATCTACTGCTTAATGGCTAGCAATGACTAATATCATTCCATGACGATGTAGAAGCTCTTTAATGTCATCAGTCCATATCACCTAGGGCGGCCTCTTGCTTTGACTTCACATCTTTCGTTTAGTGTCTGTCTTGGTAGTTGTTCTGGCTGCATTCTTACTAGATGATCAAACTATTTTGTCTTCTGTTTCTTAATGAATTTGCTGCATCAATAGCCTGTCATGGTCATATTACCTGGCTTACTATTGTGGCTTGTTGACAAGAGACACAATTTAGAAGAATTAATTTGGTTTGAAGCTGCGTAAATTTTAAGCAGGACCATGAACAATTACATTTACTAAGAAAGGGCATTTAGAGAGTTTCCTTACGGAAAAATGACTTTATGTAGAAAAATTCTGACATCAAATTGACCTTATTAGTTACTGGGTGACCAGGTCATGGGGTAAAGTAATTGTGAGGCTATAATTGTTATTCAAGGCTCAAAGAAACATGCCAGTTAATTCTCTGCCTCATTTGTTTTTGTTGATTACTCCCCTTTATATATATATATTTGTGTGTGTGTGTGTGTTTTTTAGTCCGTAAATAATGTTTTCCCCAAAAAAAATTTCCCAAGGGAGAGACACATAACAGCCATGACTAACAGGCTTTTTCTCACTTCCTGTTTTTCTTTTCTTGTCTAAGCCTTCCAACCAAGCTAATCAGTACTTGAATGGCTGTAGGTCACGAGACTGAGCAAGAAGACTGTGTAGAGATCATATCCAGGCAGACTTACTTATACTTAAATCCTTGTATTCATCGACTAGAAAGAGAAGGTCATTCACAGAGAAGAATGGAAGTTGTTGATGTCTCCACCAGTTAACTTCAGGGGTTCGGAATGCAGAAGAAGTCCCTCCATGTCATGATGCCAAACTGTCTACATTATTTCTTGGTCTTCTGTGGCTCTCTTCCCTTCTTACATTCCTGCTAGCAAACATAATAGGTGTTCTTAAACATTTTGCTATCACTGTAAATTGGCTACCCCTTCCCAAATCATAGTCTTTCAGAATGCTTGGCAGGATCTGAGTGAAGGCCTGTTCTGCATTGAGAGTTGAAGGACAGAAGAAAAAGCATAATGTATTCTAACATAATTTATTAGTCCTATCCTCAAGTTGTTTGAGTGGTCACTTGGTTTGTCTTCTCCAAACTGCTACCTGAAAGTTTGCCAGACCATCCTGAGATTTAACAAATCTTAATCTGGACTATAGACCAAAAAGGCAAATCCCAGGTACCAGTTCAACTTCCAAAGAAGTTATAATTAGGGCACCCGTAATGGGAACACCAGCCAGGTGTCGCCTGCAGTTATATAAGAGTCAGGACTTTCTAAAATTGTTTTAAATTTCCCTTGATGTTTTGTGGCTTGTTTCCTAGGTGACTGCTCCAATTAACACAGACGAATGTGGGAACACTAAGGGATGCTTCCGGGAGCCACCGGGCTGCATAGAACCACAGTGCTTGTACATCCTCACCTGGAGAAGCGAAGCTGCCACAATTGACTTTGAACTTGGTGGACTGGCTGATAGTTCCATCGATAGATATGTTGCAGTTGGTCTTTCTGAAGACAAGTATATGGTCAGTTTTCTTTGAAAATATTGTTTTCATTGCACTCATCTACTTGTAAAGTCTGTATGAAATTGTAGAATGTGTATGAGTGTCAATTAGTAGGTATGTATAAAGCAGGAGTATCAGTGCCCATCATCTGGTAAGGAGTTCAAGTTCCAGGTTCAGGTTGAGAAATTCACTGTGAATTTTATTATGCAAAAGAAGATTGCTAAAAAAAGTGCTAACTGCTGCCTTTGTTTACCATTAGTGCGATGTAGGCTGGGGGGGGGGGTGATCTAAGGATTGGAGGCAGCCTGGCTAGTGTTGTCAACATGGACTGTATGTATAGTTTAGGATTTTATTTTTGCCAAAAAAAAAAAACCTCCGAACCTTACCGAAGATTCAAAGCAGTGTCTCCCAGGTGAAGATCGCTCACATTATTATAGCAGCCTCTATTTTTTGCACCTTTTACCATTTTATAGCCTCCATCAAATAACACCCGTCAGTGTAAAGAACTGCACCTGCCAGAACTAACCGTCTTTAGCACCAACCACCAACAGACACACATTCATCCTTTGATTTCATTCTTTATATTTGTATGAGGGTGTATGTATGACTGTGCATGTCTGTTTACGTATGTATATGTATGAGTATGCATGTACCTGTGTATTTATGGGTACATATGAGTATATATTTATATTTGGAGTGTGTTCAGTTGTGTATATAATGTGGGTTTGCATTATTTCATTATGTATATTTTTATATTAACATAACATACAATATTTATAATATACAATTTTGGTCTGAAAGATGACTGTTCGGAAGGGCCGAATGTAAGATGGACCTGTATGCCCAATTTGTAACCCTTTGAAAAAAAAGTTTGTTCGTTCCTTTTTTCTTTCTTCATTCTCTCATCTACTTATGTCAGAGTTAACACAAAGAAATTAATTTAAATGCCTCAGAAAATAGTATGAACAAACCTTGCAGTGTCTCACCACGTTACAAATATTCCTACTCTCATATTTGTTAATGTTACTATTGCAGGGTGACGACACAGTACTTACCTGTGCCCACAACTCAGAAACGGGCAGGACAGAAATATTTCTATCCTACAATACTGCAGACCCCAAGAACAACATTCCTGTTCCTAAATATGATGTCAACCCTTCCACAGGTGGACATGTGAGTACAAATAGTCAAATAAAGGTTCCTTGATACACTGTGTTACGTAATTGGTATATCATGTTCAATCAATCAGTCCTCATCGGGCTTAGAGACACTTAAGGTAAAGACAAGCTAGCGCCACTTAGTTTGACCCTGAGCTATCCTCTCTCTCTCTCTCTAGTTTTGTCCTTCTTATAGTCTTGAGTTCAGCCTCAAAAGTTCACCTGAAGTGCCGCTGGGCCTGCCTCATCCTCACTGTCCTTGTCGTTTCCATTGCATTGCTTGTCTCAGCCATCTCTCTTTCTTCATTCTGAGGACGTGTCCAAGCCACCTAAATCTTCTTTTTTTTTTTTAATTTCTAAATTTACATCTTCTGAGTCTTTCATTTGTTGTAATTGCTGATTTTGTTTTTATCTTCACATTTGAACCCCAACAATCTTCTGAAAAGTCTTCCCATGATGCTACTGCCATATATCTAGACCAGTCAACAAATAGCAGTTGTTGACCACAGAACGTGACAATAATTTATTTATAATTGCTGAATATAGAAAGTGGTAAAACTGTATGTTCAATGTAGAAAGTCCCTATGAAGGTTCCAGGATTCAGGGTTTTGTTTTTTTGTGATGGAAGGGAGGGGGGGGGGGGGGGTGGAGAATACACAAGCATGCTATACTAGGCTGCTAATTAGAGGTGTTTCATTTGAAAGTCAATAAGAGTGCATCTGCCTGAGATGTGAGGATCCAAGGCTGCATACAAGTCAAGTCAGATATGTCAAAATGGATGTGCACACAAAACTGAAGCCCTGGAACAAGACCAAAGTCTAGAAGTGGACTGACAACCAGAACTTTCCAACCCAGAACCCACTCTGGCAGCTAAGATTACAATTTGTTTTTATTTTGGCCAGCTAGGAAGGCATTGGGTGAATTGTTTGATGCAGAAAGCTCTATCATAAACTTTTATGTTTTATTTCCAGTATGATACTAGTCTGTACCCAGTGATTGTCTCGGAGGAAGGATCCTACGACAATGGACGACTCCGGTGTCGTTTCAGGATTAACAGAGATCTAGACACGAAGAAAAGAAGAAGAATAACCCGGTTCATTCAGAGGGTTTGTTAACCAAACAAGCAACCAAACACTGGAGGAAAAGGCAAAACTAATTTATCATTATATCGGCATTTTTGTGTTAGTTTGTTTATTGTGATTCTTCCAGAGTTTTAACCCCAGAGTCTTGATTCAACAAATCCCCAAATGGGTGCCAGGGCTCTATTTTGGGGAGAGTGAGGGAAGAAAGAAAGAAAGAAAGAAAGAATAGACCCTCGTTTTCCTAACAAACCTATTATATAAGAGGATTAATTAGGGTTTTGCTGAAATCTTATGTATTATGCTAAAAATTGTATAAATATAAGTTAAAACTGTATATACTATATTTAAAGAATGAGCTGTTTGTGCACACTGCTACATTTGTCATAGCTTTGTCCTGAGTTAAATTTTTATTATTTTATTTTATGAAACAAACATGAATTCCCTAGGAAGTCCAAAGCGCCATGGTCTGAGTGTTGAAGAGCTGCCTTTGGCCAGTGCAAACCGTATTGATTTCACCTACTTCTCCAATTCACATGGCAGAGCCACCTACTCCCTGGCCAAAGCTCATGGTTAGTTGAACAGTGTTGCCATGTTGTTGTTTGTGACACTCTTCCTTTTCTGTCTTCTTATTTAGTTGCTGGTCTTCTAGTTTTGGATGTACAGCTTCTGTTATTACATATGTTATTGCACTTTTTATCATAATAATTATAAAAATAAGTGAAGAACAAATTGTATGTGTCTCTGCGTGCATTTATGTGGAAGGGTGGGGGCCACACATATGCATGCACACATACACGATTTGTGTGAGGGGTGGCATGCACACATAAGTGCAGTGTACATGTGCACACACGGATGAATGAGCTAATTGAAGAATAAGAAACAGTGCAAGCCTTTTGTAAGGGCCGTATACACCCAGATGTATTAAACAATATATCTCACACACACACTGGTGCACTCACACATATGCACAAACACACACAAGGAGACAGACAGGCGTGCACAGAAAGAATTAAAAAAGATGATAATAATTATAGTAAATAAGGAAGTTAAAATAAAAACAGGGTAACTTTCATATTTGATTTACAGTTACTTTCTGTTCAAGCTTTGACTGATTTGATTACAGGTTGCCTGATGATCCTTGCTTGGATATTTTTTGCATCCATCGGCCTTCTGTTGACCAAATACTACAAGCCAATGTGGCCGGAGAGTCGAATGTTTGACCAAAAGTACTGGTTCCTGGTAAGTTACTGCAAATATCTTGCCAGTTAGATTATTCAATTTTTTTTAAATATTTGGTTCTTCTTCTTCAGCGATCTCTGGTCGTGTTAATAATCTACTGGGGGCCATAAACTGGGATGTCATCTCAAAGTCTCTTAGATTTCCCCAAAGCTGAGTTGCCAGGTCTACTGGCCACATGCTGCTACGCAGCTCTGCCAAGAGAAGACAGTTTTGCCAGACATGTTCTAGAGTTTATTCAGCTCGAAGACACTGGCAGAAAGCTGTCTGGCTCATACCTAATTTATATGTATTTGTTGAGTTTGCAGTGTCCAGTCCATAATTGCAAAACTGAGACTTGATCTGTTCTATTCAGCTGTTTGGGGACATATTTTTCATGGTTATAACCTGTGTTGGTTTTCCAATCTGTTTCTGATTTTATTTTAATGAGAGTTTTGAGTGCTGGAAAAAACAGTGGCTGGTAGATCTGTGGTTTGCTGCTGCCTTCCTTGGCTAAAGCATCAGCGCTTTCATTACCTTGATTATTCAGTTCAGTAATTATAGGTAATAAATTAACTACATTACAGCCATTACGCTTCAGCAGACTGAAATATCGTCTGGTAGTCTTAGTTTCAGCTTCATAGCAAACGGGTCACCCCATATCGTTTGTATAAACAAATTCAAAGGGAGCCGCTATGGTCTAGTGGTTAGCCGCTAGCCTGTGGATCAGAAGGTTTAGGTTTCAGGTCCTGATAGGGGCCAGATTTAATCAAAAATGACCTTGGCTCCCAGGTCGACCCAGCCTTGAGTGGGTGCCAGGTACAGTCCTGGGAAGTAAAGCTGGCCAGTGTGATGCTGACCGCATCACCCATCAAGTGCCTTTTGCTCTATAAAATATAGGTCTAGCCCTATATACCCAATACGCCTGAAGGTGTGGGAAAGGATCCTTTACTTTGCTATAAACAAATTCAAGATTAGTTTATCAGATCGTGGCAAACTGTCAGCAGTCCCATGGGGAACCTTTTCACACATAGGGCATATAGAGCTAGACCTTCATTTTTATAGACCATCAGAACTTGGATGAAGTGGTCGTCACATCGGCCATATTTAATTCCCAGGACATTATCTAGTATTTATTTTAGGCTAGGTCAACCCGGGAACGAAAGTCAGTCAGTAAAATAAAAAAAATATACCTAGATTTGAATTTGAACCTTCCACCCTCTGGCCAAAAGCTTCTGTGTTACCTTAGTTCCCACTTTTTATATTAATTTTTTTATGAGTAGAAGAAGAATTGTCTTTTTATATTTCTATAGTATCTACAGAGGACCGGCTGGCCAAACGGTAAAGAACACTGGCCTCTCATGTGGGAGAACCAGGTTCAAATCCTTGGTAGGGTTGTGGATTTTTTCTGTTGGGAACAAAAATAAAATCCTAACCTGCACATTGAGTGGCGACAGCACTAGCCATGCAGCTTTAAATCCTCTGGCTCAAAGACCCCCATGCCTACACTGTAAAAGTGCTAATTACAGGCACATTGGCATTTTTTTTGTATGTAGTATCTAGATTTATTTTCAAACTGTTTTGTTGGTCTTTTACAGGGTCATTTCAACTGTATGGCAACCATGTTCATCATCACCATTATTGCCATCATTCTCATCTTCGTAGAGGCTGGAGGCTACAGTCAGGTCAGTTTTCACTATCTTCATCATAAACAGTTGACCGTGGTTGATTGACCATTGTTTTTTTTTTTTTTGGTTTTCATTGATGTTTAATAATGTCAACCCCCGGTAGTGTGTTTTTGTTTGTTTTTTAGCTTATTCTTTTATATGCAGTTGATATAAACTAATACATGTTTAAATGTAAAATATTATGTAATTTAAAATTATGGATACACTTTCATTCATGTTTATTTTCTTGAATGTATATTGCATAATAATATACATACAAGAGAGAGAGAGATGGGAAGGTCTAAAATTGTGAATACTACTGCTAGAGCACAGACGCCTAGCCAACCAATCGTATCACAGCTGCATTGAACTCAGTTACGCAAGAGATGCTTTTTCAAGTATGAGTTGAGTTTGACTATTGCTTAGATGTTTGCCCAGGAATAGGCGGTGGCCGTATTCAACATCGATAACCTCTATTGCAAGTTTGTAAACTTTAGACTTTCCCCCCTCTCTCTCCTTTGTATATATACATATATTATTAATATGTAATGCATAATAAAGGAAATATACATTCATGAAAATGTATCCATCATTTTGAATAACCCTGTATTTCAGATAATAACACTATGAAACATGCATGATTTATTTAATAAGTAGGATGTAAGAAATTAATGTAACACATTAGGATACAACAAAGAGTTGAGATCTCAAAATACTCAGAATAACCAATAAACATATGGTATATTCATTGGTACTGCTTGAGATAATGTCATATCTGCCTATTATGTGGAGGATTCTGGTCCCAGTGTGTGCTTTATGCCGGACATTTAGTTTTTACGCACTGTAGAGCACTACCTGTTAAGCCAGATCCTTGGCGTTTCATCAGTTACCAGACATACCCACGTGACTATGCAAATGACAAAGTTCCAAAATAGGCACATTTTTGCTGGATTTACATTCTCTTGAGAGAAAGACTGCAAGAGTGCTTTTCAACATACATCTATGGCCTTAAAGATAAGGAATCTATAGAATGGATGTCAATCTTTTTAAAAGATCCTTGGTTTATCATACAGCAGTGCAAAAATGACAAAAGTCCAAATAGCAATCATTCAGCACAATGGCCATTCAACCTTTTTTAACAGCAGTGTAAAAGGACTATTTAACAAAAAAGATCTACCAACCTCTCTAAAACAACACTACAGGGCTCTGTAGAAGGCCCCAGGCTGATAACAAAAGACCTGGATACAGATTTTGGCTAAATAGACAGGCCTTAAATATGCGAGCATCAAGTCCTCTGCACCTGACTGACAGACGATACGCCTCTGCAGATGTGATGCCCTAATAATAGTCTTGCACACACTACTGGTTTCCAGGTTTGGAGAGAGGCAGGGACTCTGCAGTACAGTCCACATAGATTGTCCCAACAAGCATGTCGTTAGAGTCGACTGGTTGGGGGCTTCCTTAAACGTCGGAGTAAATCTGCCTGAGAGGCAAGGAACCAAGAGTCTGCATATAATTAAGTCAAATCTGCTTAACTGATGTGCACACAACACTCAGGTTCTCGAACAAGACTAAACTCCAGAGGAGGACAAACAACCATAATTTGTCGTCGGAGTTTACAGCCGATGAACGCGAAGAAGAAGAAGAAGAAGAACATTGTATGACAGTATAGTCAAAGACACTGTTCTTTGACCAGTGGATTCAGGTGGAGGAACGCACTGGATGCTAGCCTTATCCTGGAAAGAGAAAATGCAATCTGAAAACTTCATGTTATGACAGGGAAGACCAGGCCTTTAGCCTTGGTTTGTAGCACGTCTAGGAGAGAAGTTCAAACAGGCAGTCAGAGCACGGCTTTTCTGATCTGGCAGCTTCTACAGGCATGCTTTGTTCCAAACATATAGTTTCAAATGTATTATTCCAAATGTATTAAACGAGGCAGGCTTAGAAAAGAATCATGATGTATAGCCAAGACATGGTATCTGACCAGGATATGTGCTATGGAAAGCAGCAACTTCCTTCCAATGCCACCCAATATAACACTTATGCCTGGATAGACTGAAAGTTGCCAACATCTGTGGGCAGGTATTGAGAAGAATGGCAATGGAGACTTTTGTAATAAATAGCAAGATCAGTCATAAAAGATGTGGAGGCAGATCAGAAAAAACATACTGGATGGTTTAAAAATCACATGGAAGAATCTCAGTGTAACTTATCCAGAACAGCAAGGGCTGACATCTCTGGGGAAACAAGACTGTGTGTGTTTCTTTTCTTAGTCACGGCACCTTTTTTTAATTACAGTTTTTTTCACATCACCCTAACCTCAGTAAAAGTATGACTATTCATAGGTAAGAGATTTTAAAAAAAACGTGTGTATCTTCAAATATTTCACGGCGCCACTGTGAAGAGGTCGCAGCTCTCCCCGGGGCACAGCGGCGCACAGTTTGTGAATCACTGGTCTAAGTCATCTAGTAAGGCACATGATGATTTGTTGTTTCATTTCTGTGTCTGCTTTTATAAAAGTAGAAAATGGAAGAACAAGAGACTTTGTGATTAAGTTACCAGACATGCCTGTTATACTTGCTGAACATGTCATTCCTTCAGCATTTAGCTCATAGTTTAATCTGTATAATTCTCTGACCTCTCTCCTTGTGCAGGCTCCAGATCTTCCACAGAAGGCTCATCCCATTTTGGGTATAATCATCTTCATCTGCATCATCATTAATGTAAGTGCTGATGGTTTTTCTCACTTATGTCAGGAATATATACATGTAGAAATAGCTTTGGCTTCATGATACTAAATATTTTTTTTTTAATGCATGACCAGCAATCATCTGAATACACATACAACCTGAGTAAGGACAATTCTGAAACTACCGGATCATTCATTCTTCGTGTCAATTAATTCTTTTTAAGTAGCAATCGGATAGATGTGATTGATTGATTTAATTGCAGGACCATCTTTATTGCATTCGCTCCTTCAGCACCAGACTGGTTTACTTTACTAAAATAACTGTTACTGTAAGAAATAAAGTTTTGTCTAAACGAGTATAAATAATCACATTGTTAGAGTCAATTTAACAACTAGGATAATAAATGTAATAACACAATGAGGCTCAGGGATTTAAGAAAAGCACATGATTTCAGAATGTTTCCATGACTGTCATGGTGAATGGCTTGATACTGGACTGGTTAAACCGTGCATTATTGCTCAGTTTTCTTCCTCTATTATGCGGAGGTCAGCTGGTTCAATCCTGTCCCACTGAGAAACTGCAAAACTGGCACTTTAGGTTGGCCCCAGTTCCCTCTAAATGTCCCTTTTCCAATCCTATTTGTAGTGACCTGTTTACATGACATACAGTTAATGATATTTCCTGAGTTTGTGCCTGCGCAAATGTTAATGAGGTCGAGATGTAATACATTTAATGCTTCACTCTGTTCATTTCAAAGGATTTCTTTCAAGAATTCCCACAGGGTCATGACCAGTTATTACTGGGGTAAAAGGGTTAAGAAACCCTGTAACACTTGCAAAGCTCCCAGTAAATGTGACCCTCATATGTGTTGAAATTTTGTCAGGGCAGTTAGATAGATGTTGGAATTGTGTACAATATTTATACACATACAATAATAATGGGAACTACAACAGCATAATGTCTGGGCGCTCGCCTACCTGCCCAAAAGTCTTGAGTTATTCTAAATCTTGGCAGATAATTTGAAATTTTCAAATGAACCTTGACTCAGCCTGACATGGGTCCCATGTGGTGTTCTTTGAAGTAAAGGTAACCAGCATAAGGTTTACCACATCACCCGCTGGGTCTAGCATCATATGCCTGACGTGTACCGATGACGTATTTCACTCCGCGTCGCTCGCACGTGAGATCTCCTGAGGTTCCCACGACCTGTCATGTGTTCTATTGGTGTCAGGTGTTGCTTGTTTTAAAGGTTTTGAGTACATCCACCACCGACAACAGCCACCCCCAACGAGCGTAAACATTCAAAAACATAAACTGTTGCACCTTCGGCGCTCCCCCCTGCAGTACTTCTTTTGTGTACACAGGTGCCTTCGGTGCCTGAACTACTCACAACAACACATTCCAGGAAACCCTGGGTGTTTTGGCCATGTTATGGGTCAAGTGGGGTAGGAAAGAATGGTGATGGATGGTGCAGTTTCTGAAAAATGAGGCAGAGGTCGACCACCATGAAGGTGGATACAAGACATTGAAGATGCATTGGCTATGGAAGCACATAGGGCTGCAAAAATAGCTAGAGAAAGAGGGAATTTCAGACGTGCTGTAAATAGAGTAACATTATATAAAGTACCTGCTGATGAATGAGGATGAATTGGTCAGTGTTGTCATCCATATTTTTTCAATACTGTGTAAGTGCAACAGCAGAATACTAACCAGATATCTGGGACACTTTCCTCAGCCTATCCTGGCCCTGATTCGTCCCTCAGAAGAAAACAAGTGCAGGCCTGTGTTCAACTGGTTCCACTGGGCTTTTGGTACCATTGCCAATGTGCTTGCAAGTAAGTAGTGATGTATACTGGTGATTCATTTTTATCCCAAGTAAATTAACATGGATGACTCACCTGCTGTGTGGTTAGTCTCATCCAAACTTGTCAGCTTACATCCTTGTGGAGGTGCATAGGGCGGAGGTCATAGTTCTTCCTGTTTGGCGGTTCATTGCCACCTGGTTTAGGTCTTGGATGTTCATTAGGCCCATGGTTGAGCCTTCCTTGGTGATGGTTCTACATAGTCTCTCTTGGTCTTCACTGTTTTCTTTTTTCTTCCGGAATGTACGGAACATGTGGAATATATGGCTGTAAAATTAACAGTGATTTATTTTTAAAATAATTATTAACCTTGAAAGAGTTAACCAGCTTTAAACTTGGTTGGCACCTTTCCATCTTTTGATACAGTAATATTATATTGTGCTGAAGAAAGGCATGAGAATCCCTGGCCGTGACAATTGGGAGTGTGACTGACAGGACCCTCTTCTGTTAGGAAATGTCTTCTACAGTTGGAGCATGGCATTTCAAGACCATTGTTGTCATAGCTTTTATTTTTTATGCTTATTCTCAGCTCTTGACCTGTATGTCGTCATTTTCTCCTTTATCCCTACTGCCTTCCTGATTTTCCCCCTCTGCAACATGGTTCTGGCATCCTATTCCCATGAATCCATCTCACTACGTGTATCATTCATGTCCCAGTTGCGTACATCTTTATACACATTTGTTTATCATAGAAGAAGCCTATCTGACATCTTCTACCCATCTGTCATTCACCATAGAGGATAGATATCCTTTGGGACTCTGTCATTGTCCACGTGCTGGAAACTGATGATGTGAATACACACACATGCACGCAGGCACACACACACACACACTCTCTCTCTCTCTGTCTCTCTCTCTCTGTGTCTCTCTCTCTCTGTGTCTCTCTGTCTCTCTCTGTCTGTCTCTCTCTCTCTGTCTGTCTCTCTCTCTCTGTCTCTCTCTGTCTCTGTCTGTCTCTCTCTGTGTCTCTCTGTCTCTCTCTGTCTCTAATAAAGAAAATAAAGTTCGTGCGTTCGTTCTCTCTCTCTTTCTCTCTCTCTGTCTCTCTCTCTCTGTCTCTCTCTCTCTCTCTGCCTCTGACTGTCTGTCTGTCTCTGTACCTACCACCATTGTTCTGTACCTACCACCATTGTTCTGTACCTACCACCATTGTTTTTTTTCGAGCCATCATGACATTTAACATGGCAAGAATACCTGAGCTTTTGGGACAGGATGCAGTTTATGAGCCAGTTCTCTTCAATGTTTAAATCATGTAGGATGTCGGTTTGATTCTTCTTCTTGGTCAATGGTAGTCAACAAGTTTTTGTGTAGCATTTCACTTCAAAACTCCCAGTGTATATTTTCTTTAATAATGGAGTAACTGTCCTTGACTCACAGCCATAATTTGCCAGGGGAAAAATGCATGATCTCACATTGTAACTTGACCTTGTTTGCAGGTTCTGTGTCATTTAACACTTATGAATAACAAATTAACAATATTTGTTTGTGTTCATTTAATTAACATAGTATTTGCATTGTGGGCTGGTTTCTGACATAGTATATTTGTTGTGATTAGTTCCCCAGATATTCATCGGCATGGATTTTGGTAAAGTGATGGTTCCCTGGTGGGCTACCTGGGTCCTGGTTATCTGGGTGATATTTCACATTGCAGTCGAGCTGACCCTGGAGATCCATCAGTGCTGCACCTACAAGAAAAATAAAGGTACTTTTCCCTCTTCTTCTGTGTCTTCTGTCTTTTATCATTCAGTGGACTATGGGCCCGCAAACAACTCCTGCCATTCAGTCCTACCCTTTGCTGCCATTTGCAGCTCACCCCTCGTCATCCTGTCTTTTTAAATTTCACTCTCTAGTTTCCTTCTGTCTGTGATTTTTTGCTCTGCCTTTATTTCTATGTCCCTGTTGGTGCCAGTGCAAAAACATTCTAGTTATATTCTAAGCTTTTCTCTATGTGTGTCCTATCTATCGCTAGCATCTTTTCTTCACCTCTTAATAACCAGGAATTTGTAACATTCTCTCCCAAAGATCTTAATTAGTTATTCTATCATACCATTTAATTCCCTATATTCTGCACAACTACTTTTCCTTCTTAACATTGGTTCAATCGCAGCCAGCTCCAAATAAGGCCGTACAGCTCAACAGGAATTCCCGTTATTGGGAGGCCGGTCGATGCACAACATTGTTACCAAGTAGATTTATACATAAACAATAGTTTAATTATTTGCAGTTAAGTGTTTTATTTTTTCTGTTATTATTATTATTATAATTACTATTCTTTTTCCTACTAGCCCACTTATTTATCTTCAAAATGATAATTCATTTTATTCAAAAACACATCATCAGTCATCAGTTCTTTTTCTTGTATATGTTCATGTTTATGTGATAGGAGTGCTATATCATCTGCAAAATCAAGGTCCTCAAGCATGGTGAATGGATTCCATTGTATGCCTCTCAATGTCCTGTCTACTGTGGTCTTTAGTATCCAATCAATCACAAGGTTAAAGAGGAGAGATGACATAACACATCCCTGTCTTACACCTGTCTTTACTGGGAAAGATGTATTGTAATTTTTTATACTGCATGAAAAGTCTTTTTAGAAGAGAGCAATTATATTGACTATTTTTTATGGAATTCCATAATGTCGTAAAATTTTCCATAGACTGTCTCTATGGACGCTGTCAAAAGCTTTCTCAAAATCAACAAAATTAAAATATACTTCTCTACCATGCATTGTATTGTTCTAAAATGTTACGTGTGGCGAAGATGTGCTCAGTTGTTCCTCTGCCCTTTCTGAATCCTGCTTGTTCCACTCGTAGGCATTTATCTACTCCTTTTTCAAGCCGCATAATGATGATTTTACAAAATATTTTGCTTGGTACTGAGAGTAGAGTAATTCCCCTCCAATTATTGCAGTCTGTTAAGTCTCCTTTTTTGGGGATTTTGACTATTGTTCCTTCAGTCCAGTCATCAGGCAACACTTCTTTTTCCCAAATATCCTTGAACAAGGGTTCTAGAATGCTAGCAGTTGTGTTGGGATCTACTTTGAGATGTTCTGCTGGCAGTTCGTCTTTGCCTGGTGCTTTGTTGTTCTTTAAAGTGTGGATAGCTTTAAGGATTTCTTGTTTGCTTGGTGGTTCAGTAATAATGTCAATGTTCTGAGAGGCTGGTTGAATATCTGGGGGATTTTCAGGATCAGGTCTTTTTAAGAGGTCGGAGAAGTGTTTAGTCCATTGCATGTCTTGTTTTTGTTCTGTGGTGAGCAGTCTGCCTTGGTTATCTCTGATGGGTATGCTGTGATAATTGTTTCTGCTTCCGCAAATTAGCTGGGTAATTGCAACACATGTTGCAGATTAATTAAACTGTAGTTTAATTGTTGAATAAATCTACTAGGTAACAATGATGAGCACTGACCGACCACGGCCGCCCTCCTAAAAACAAGAATTCTAGTTAAGGCCTTATTTGGAGTTGTCTGTGTTTAAATATAGTTTGTGTCCAAATTATCTTGAGTATTGTGTCTCTTTATTTTTTTTTAAACAAAATAACAGATAATGGCAGGTGTAAAATAGAAATCACAGAGTTGGAGTAAAAAAAAGAAGTAAAGGACCCTTTTCCACGCGTTTAGGCGTATAGGGCATATAGGGCTAGACCTGTATTTTTAAAGACCAATCGGCACAAGAAGTGTGGTGTGGTCAGTATCACGCTGCCACCTCTACTTCCCGTGACAGCACCCGGTACCCACTCAAGGCTGGGTCGGCCTGGGAGCCGAGGTCATTTTTGAAAAAAGTCCAGCTCCGCCAGGGAGCAAACCAACGATCTTCCGATCCCCCGCGAGCGTAGAGTTGGAGTGACCAGTGCTGTATTGTACAGTGCACAACATTTGCTGTCACACAAACAACTGTCTGATTTTTTTAACTGGACAGCTTGCTTATAAGTATCCATACTCTTTGCAGACATATGCTGTGGTCTGTGTTATTAGTGTTGGATGACAATGTCAGACTAGACAACTTGGCATAGTAACACTGAGAATATTAATCACTATAATTGTTGACCTGCAGCACTCTTTGACTGTGAAACGTTGACTCAAAACCAGAAATGAAATTAATTGGGAAGCTGTTAGCCAGAATTTTTTTGGGACACAGATTTATGCTGAGCTGAAGAGAGTTGGCATAAAGAGGAGAGAGTAGAGATCAAGATGTGAGCTGTAAGAGTTCTCTTGCTCTTTGTAATGTGTTGTATAAGTTGATCTTCATTTCTTTGGCTGTTCTTGATGATGTCATTCCATATTTTGCATGGCTTTCCCTTTGCTCTATGTTCATTCTGTTTCTTCAGCATGGCTCTTAGTGGTAGTTGGTACCAGTTTCAAACAAATCATAAAAATATAACTTTTCAATTATTATATATGCTACATCACGACAAAAGCTGCAACCTTATCATTGTTAATGTCTTCATCAGAACGCAGAAAGAAGTGGGAGCGAGAGAAGAGAGAATATCCCAAGCAACATTTCCCGGAACCACAGCCAGCTGTAAGTATTCACACATTGTCATTTTATGGATGCTGATTAGTTGATCTGTGCTGGCTGCTGAAGATTGGACAGAGCACTTGTGAGAATTTCTCAAGTGCTATGTTGTTAGATCTAAACTCAACTTATCTCTTAGTTGATCAGCTGGTTAACGAGAACCTAAGAACTGACATTAATCTTCTCATCTCCTCTGTGATCTTAGATGTTGATAAGTTGATTTAGCTAATAAACAGGATTCAGAGAACTGTGAAATTACCCCTTAATTCTTTATGTCCTTTATGATGTTATGATACAGCAGATTAACTTAATTTGTTATATTGTTGAGAAGTGGCTGAGCCCGAGAAGTTAAGAACGCAAAGCTGTCATGCGGGGAAACCCGGGTTCTAATCCTTGGTAAGGTTGGGGTGTTTTTATTCTCCCATAGGTAAAAATAACATCTTAACTGGCACAGTCCGTGGCAACACAGCATGTGGCCTCCAAATCCTCAGGCTCACAGACACTAACCCCTATCGTCCCCCAGCCTACACCGCAGAAATGGGAGAGCTATTGCAGTTAATTATTTATTGTGTTCTCTAATGTCTAAACAAAATCAGTCCAGATGAGAAGCAGAACCAGTCAGCTTCTTAAAAAATATAGTCAAAAAGTAAACAAAATGAATGTGGAAGCTCTAGAAAGCTTCCATCAGCATATGACACAAACACAGTGATACAGTCAAGTAAACAACAAATGCCAGTCGCCTAACAGAATAAACCTCTAGTATCTGATTTTTCCCTAGGTTTATGATTTTGCTTGATTAGTTTATGATTAGTTCTGTTGGGAGGGACTTTGTCTCAAGTGCAGCATCTGTTCTTCATCATGATCATGGAAATAATCGTTGTACTGTGTATTTAAGGTAATCCTGTCCCTGATGAATGCTTTTAAAAAAATGGGCCAGACCCTGAGTAAATCCCCAAAAAGTCTTGTAAAAAAAAATGTGTATACAAGTCACTTAAAAATTGGTTTAAAATGTATTTATCTTTATTTTGTTTTTGGTTAAAATATATCAAGACATAAAAAGGAATTAATGAGTCAATATGAAGAGAATGAAGCATTATATGGAATAGATTGTCCTAAAAAAATATAAGTAGGGTGAATCATGCGCTGACCCCATAACCTCTATCACTGTGACCCCATGACCTCTATCACTGAGACTTACAGGACAATTTAATGTCAGCTTGGCTTTATAAAAGGGGGATTTTCCCCCAACCCCGCACTGCTATTTGTAGTAAATGTAATCACATCTGGGTCTGCTAAATGCAGTGTAGACACAAACAGAAACAGTCACACTAAATTACACTTTAAAAAAAAATCACAACAGACAGGCCAGTTTTGAGATATTTACAGAGAATTTGACCCAAATGGAAGTGCTGGATTTGCAGCTTCTTGTCGTGAAAGGGTTAGATTGAATATGTTGTTCCCCTTGTGCTGTGAAAAAGAATAAGACACACTGCCCTCTTATAAGCATGTCGTAAAAGTCAACTAATTAGGATGTTTCCTTCAATGTCGGAGTGAGTCTGCCTGAGAGGCGAGGAACCAGCAGTCTGCATACAAATAATCCAGATCTATAAAATGGATGTGCACACAAACCTCAGTTTCTGGAACAAGACTAGAGTTCAGAAGTGGACGAAGAACCAGAACTTTTCACCAGAATTGACAGCGGATGAATGCTAAGTAGAAAAAATATGTTGTTTGTACTTTAGTTAAGTTCATTATGTTATTTAATTGTTTGTCAATGTTTTCCACTGGGAGAAAGAACTCTCATTTATGATATTTTCATTCATTCTTTTTTGTTGAAGGGTTTTCTAATTCTTTTTGATTTTTTCTTTTCTTCTTACAGGGTCGCAAATTCAAGCAGTTTATGTTGTTCCTGCATATTGGCTTCACTGCCTTCATTACGTTGTTCATGATCATCGTCATCGCAGTGTCTTAAACAGTTAGGCTGCGACAAAGTCTCTTGACTTACTGTTTGGATACTAAAACACAAACCTGAATGTACATCATCACAAGTGGTGCTTGGACAGTTGCAGCAGGTTGTAGCGAGGGAAGGAAAGATTGTTTGTTAGTGGTGCCTGATGTATGATTAATGGCATGTGACTAGCCAGATCATAGAATGAATATTTTTTTAAAGTTTGTCTTACTAAATTTGTTGAAACTGAAAATTAAGAAAAGTGATAGAGGAAATACAGAGCAGACAATAATGAAACCAAGCAGTTGATACTAATGATAATAAATAAATCTTGATGTTGCGAAAAAAACATTCACGTCACATGTACTGCAAAGATATTAATAAACTTTGAGGTTGCAAAAAAAAATGTGTGTCACAGGTACTGCAAAGATATAAATAAACCTTGAGGTTGCACACACATAAAAAAATGTTTAAATGTATGTCACAGGTACTGCAAATATGAAGAAAATAGACTAATGCCAGCAGTGCTAAAAGTAAAGAAAAACACGATGAAATATAGTATACGTCACAAACGTACAGAAATTCACAATGTTACAAAATATAGCTAATGATTCTTGAAGATTGGTATCAGAGAAATTACCAAAATGGCACATAAAGAGAAATCCAACTCAGAATCAGACAAGTTCTTTTAACTCTTTCGGTCTCACAAATTTCACTCTGGGATGCCCATGGAGGGGGGGGGGGGGGGCTTTAAAAATTATGAGTGCATGGCTTTGAGTGAGATTATATACACATCTGGGGTGATCATATTTGTTAGCATCCTCTAATTAAATGTAAAATGTTAGAGAACACATTACACAATGGATAACATTCACTATGAAGACTCTCTCACATGCCATGTATTGCCTAAGAGTAAAAAAAGTCAAATAAAGTCTGATGTAAATGTCTCTGCCTCCAGTTTCCCCTGATATTTGTTGGTGCTATACACTGGAGTATTGTTTGTTGAACTGTATCACGTTTTTACATTTTTCTGTATAGATTTTTCACACTTCAGGTTTTGAAAAAGGCATAGACTTTAGTTATTACAGTTTCATTTATAACAGTTGTAAGATGCCTTTGTAGAAATGGCTTTATGAAAGCAGCTTGTATAATACTGACCACATGACCCACCAAGTCCCATTCGATCTATAAAAATTATACATCTAGCACTGTATGCACAGTACACCCAAGAGTGTGGAAAAGGGTCCAATAATTGTACTTTATAGAACAGGACAAGATGTAAAACATAGAGAAAATTGTTTATGTGTAGTGAAAAGTATTGTTTTGATGCTTTATAGCTAAAACATAGAGAAAATTGTTTATGTGTAGTGAAAAGTATTGTTTTGATGCTTTATAGCTAAAACATAGAGAAAATTGTTTATGTGTAGTGAAAAGTATTGTTTTGATGCTTTATAGCGGCTATATTTTCTTTAACATGTGAAACCTTGACAGGAAGCAGGCAAGTTTAGAAACATCAGAGTCAGCAGAAATGTGGTTCTGTGGAGGGAAGTGTTTAGAATATGGACTGATAGAAAAATGAATGAGACAGATGAAAACCGAATAGATTACAGGCATTGTCTAGATCTGTTGGATATGTTATAGGGGAAATTTAAACTGGAAAATTAAGAAGCAAACTAAAACAACAAAGTGAGGATGGATGAATGGAAAAGAATAGGTTCTATGCACACTGTATGTGTTTGAGGTTTCTCTGTTTAAGGGGGGGGGGGGAGTACAGATTTGCCGAGTGGATCACAATTTGTGTTGCCTTGGGTGCTCGAAAAAGAGAAGAAGAAAGGGAAAAAAGTCAAATCACAGTAACATGTAATCCCTTATATGTGTGTTGAAGACAAGGATAACTACATCTCTTTCTCTCTCTCTCTCTCTCTCTCTCTCTCTCTCTCTCTCTCTCTCTCTCTCTCTCTCTCTCTCTCTCTCTCTCTCTCTCTCTCTCTCTCTCTCTCTCTCTCTCTCTCTCTCTCTCTCTCTCTCTCTCTCTCTCTCTCTCTCTCTCTCTCTCTGTGTCTCTCTCCTACATCCCTTCTATCTCTTTTTTTTTCCTCTTCTCTTACGGCTTTTCTTCTTCATCATTTCATTATTTTTTTCCTGTGATTTTCTCTGCCTCTCCCTCTTTCTCCATCCTCCTATCTCCATCTCTCTCTCTCTCTCTCTCTACTTATTTCATTCTCTCTTTTCTGTCTGTCTGTCTCCCCACCCCAATTGTCTGTCCCCCCCCCCTCTTCCCCACTATGTCTCTCTTTTTCTTCTCTTTTCTCTCTTAATTTCCATAGCCCAGCTTATGTCACTCTCATCAAGGAATCTCCATTCTCCCAGATCTGAAACCACATTTCATGTTTTGCATCTCCCTTGAATTTAAAAGGCTTCATTGTCAGACTTTCAGGATTCAATAGCAATACGATTATTTTCAGTGCCACAACTGGACACACAACAATCAGCTAACAGACCATCTGGCAAGTACTGACAATATAACCAAATTGTTGTCCATTTTTTACACAGCATATTTTTATACTGAGATTATATGTCGTAGTAAGACTGCCTTTTACCAGTTGCTAGTGTAAAACATCTTTTTTACACATAAGTCTATATATATGTATATTTATATGTATGTGTACATGTAATATTTATGTAGCTTTCATATAGTCATGCTTTTTAAAAACTTTGTTCTTTTCTGTTTGACTTATGTAAATGTTGTGGTTGATTTGATTTCACCAAGTTGTTGAGAATTTTAACGTGTGCCTTATACAATTTAATTTGTGTGAAATGTTGGGTGACAGTCGTAGTGAGTGAAGTTAATCAAAATTGTATACATTTTTGGAGGATTTAATTCGATAGTTAAAACAGTACTGAATCAATACAACTTTCACATTTTTACAATCAATACGTCGATCTAATGGCAGCCTTTACAATGCTCGTAGGCTAAAGGCCAAAACCAGGACAGGAAAGGTACTTGCCAAAACCAGGACAAGAAAGGTACTTATCAGAGAGCTGCTGTTTGCAGATGATGCCACAATAACCACCCACTCAGAGGAGGAGCTGCAATGTTTACTGTCTGCATTTGCTGATGCGTGCTGTGAATTTGGACTAACAGTTCGCAAAAGGAAGACAAAGGTTATGGTGCAAGTTGTTAGTGATAGACCAGCAGTCATTGCTTTAGTGAAGACAATAGGCCATTCATTACCAGTGTTGAAAGTGCATAGTTGTTGATTTCATGCAGCAAAACAAAGAGAAATAAATACTTTGATATTCGTGATTATATATGGATTGAAATTTGGTATTCTGCGGGAAGGGATGTTTATTGTCAAGTAGTCTGCACCAAAAATGGTATGGGAATGGCTGTTAGGGACTGATTGGATGATTATTGTTGTGATTAACTGAAAAAGTAATCATACGAAGCCCTGTATAATGGGTTAAAGTGATTGTGTACATAATATGTGAATAGACTGTGATTATGTACAATTGTTTGTGTACTTAAGTTGTACTTTCCAGTTGATATAGGATCTGAACCATGTGTGTGGCTTATAGTACAGTGTGTTTTGTTTGTTCAACAGGGAGTAGGGTCATATGGGGGTTTATTTACTCTGTTAATGTTAGTGAGTGACATACATGACCATATTTTTGTGTTTAATTATTTGTTCTCACGCTGATAGTCTTGTGCCATATATCTGGACATTGGAGAAATAGTTTCTGGATGTTGTATTTCTTCTATTGCATTCATCCAAAGATGTAAACTCTTTGTGCCCTTTGACAACATGGTTACAATATTGGCTCAGTTAATGTGGTAATGCAAACTACAAAGGACTAATAACTGTCAATTAGGCCAGTACAGAACATTGTCTTGCTAGCTGAAAATATTTATTTTTTTAAATTCATGTAGTAGTTTTAAGCTAAGGAGGCTCTCACCTTATTGCCTCTTTGTGAAATACAGGGTAGAAAACAAGAATAAGAAGAAGCAGCTGTCTATGGTAGATGTACTGGTTTAGTGAGTCAGTCATTCAAGTTTGCTTTGATTGTGTTGATTTATGCAACAGTCAGCTTCTGTTTTTGTGTGTGCCTGTGTAACAGACAAATTTATCACCAGTGCTATATGTATATTCTTGTGTACAAGTCAGTATGTATTTGCCTTGTGAATATTCACATCACTACAGTGTTACAAGTACACTATCTGGTCACCTGAGTACTACTTTCCTCTTTGTGATACATTTCCTTAAATAATAGATTTTGCAGAGCTAGTTAATGATAAATTGTCACAGCAATGGTTAAACACTTGAATGCTGTGCTGGGCAGCAAGCTACGATCAGAGACATTGAAGTTGACATTTTAGAGTCAAGGGGATCAACTTCACTGTACTAGCTTTGATCTCCGAATGGCTTGGGGACTGACTGATGTTCTACCCCACCAGGGCATGACACCGAGCGACAAAGAGCCAATGACACAAAGTGCCACCATTTGGATGAGGATCGCACAGGGACAGGTCTCAAACCCCATTCAACCCATGGGTTGGGTTATATTAGGGTCCCTGACAACACCTGGAGTGGGGCTTTAAATAATGAAAAATTGAGTTTCATAGTGGGGTGGCTGATATAATGTATGGCTTGGTCTGTCTCCACAGAATGGCTAGCTCGAAACTCCCACCTTCGTAAAACTTTGTTTCGTCACAAAGTTGATATCTAAGCCTCGGATGGGCTAGGTCAGATTGAGAGAATGTCAGATGACAGAGAGATTAAAAACTGTATACACCAGGGAGATTTATGGTCGTAGACCACGAGGCAGACCAAGAAGATGATGGACAGATAATATCCAGACGGAGACCTGCAAACACTCGGTGTCACCAACTGGAAAGAAAAGGCCAACCAGCAAGTGAATGGAGGCAGGTGATATCTGCAGCAAGGAACCTTCAAGGACTCAGAATGCTGAAGAAGAAGAAGATACTTATGATTCTAGTATGTAATCAAAGTTTATATTATTTC